TACGCCTACACCCGAACATCCTCCTCACGAACCGCAGGATATACCGCGAGGCCCACTCGTTCCTATACACGGCCTGCGGCCCCGTTCTCGCGGTCCGCGGTATACCATATAACACGCTTGTGTGCACGTTGATGAGTCGGCTGGGGTTCCGCCCGTTCTACACGCAGCGGGTGCTCGGCGGGGAGAGTGAGCTGCCGGGGTGTGTGGCGGTGTTGGAAGTCAAGTGGGATGATAGCAGTCGGATGGATGTTGACGATGACGATGTTGAGCTGTATGGCGAATATGAGATGTACAATGTGACGGACCAGCAGCCGGATATCGTGCTTATACAGCCGCAGATTGCGGATTTCGTACGGCTGCTGCAGATATTGAGTGGGTGACCGATCTTTTCGTAGACTTGGGATGTCGTTGGTGTATGCGAGTGAGTGAAGACACTTGGATGCTGACTATCGGTGATTTTGAGGGTAGAAATACGGGATATACATGAGAGCGAAATGTTCATTCTAAACTTCGACCTGGTGACTCCGACCAACATTTTCAACGAGCCGATCGGCGACGATGTATACGTCCGACAGCTGCATCAATCGGTCTTTGACGATTTCTCCGTATTCCGCGGGACGGGGATAGTGTATCAGGCACATGCATGGTTCCAGGAAAGCGACTACGCCGCCGACTTTCTCACACTCGTAAACCAGCCGATCATGTGGTTGCGCAGCGAGATTCTCCGACTGGCCGAGCTATTCGACTCGATCGCACAGCAGGGATCCCAGTTGGGCGAGCAGGACCCTATCGACGAGTTCTGCCGCTGGGTCTTCATTGGACATCTGATCAGGAATAAGATTGAAAAGTCATACCCGCGGCTGGCGGATTTCCACCCGCTAGTGGAGGAGCTACAGCCGGTAGACCTGCTGCATCAGATTCTACAGATCAGCTTTTACAACATTAGCCGGTGTCTATTTATGATGGTCATGCGGAACAGTTTACCTGAGGCGCTGGAGATCTCCGACCCGAACGATGCCCTGCGCGACCTTTGCGAGGATCTGGAGGAGATTACGAAACAGGTCATGGACGTGGAGAGCCCTGGGGAAGAGACTCTGGAGGTCCCGGTGCTCACTCGCGACCAGATATCGATGGTGTATCATCTGGAAGGCACGATATGTCTACATTGCCATAGCAAGGAGGCAGAGCTGCTCGAGGAAGCGCAGGAGTTCTTCAGGAGTAGCGTGGAGTATGCGGATGGCGAGAGGAAAGAGGCGCTGGAGAAGCTGGTTGCCGGAATCCAAGAGTTGACTCTGGACGAGGACGGCAACGTGCCGATGGAGGTGAGTTCACCAATTGACATTAAAGCACGTCATAGCACACAAACTTACGTTTATAATTGCTGTCTCGCAGTTCATGGAATTGGTCGTCTCGACGTTACCACAGGGACCAATGAACATCAACATACCGACGGAAATGAAGTCCTTTAGAGTCGACTACGAGCGCAGAATACTCAAAGAATACGGGTACAAAGGCTCCCTGCTGGAAGACAGATTCCTACAAGACCCGCCGGAAGAACCAGACCTCATGGGACAGTTGCAGCGGCCGCTGGGTAAATTCGACCTGGAAGTCTATCATGCCGTCAGCTGGAGGAAAGGCAAAAAGGTATGGCTGGGTTCTGGAACGAAGGAGATTTTTGTGGAGGATGACCTGGATGATCTGGACGAGGAGCGGCATTATACGCTGCTGAATTGACTACCTTGAGTTAGGCGGTTGGAGTCTGGTTGGACGGTGGGTGTAGGAATATAGATACATGTCCTCAGCGGGAACATAGCACCGAGGGGAGTCTTGGCGGTCAGTCCAATTTCAAATATCAAGAGTGCGTAACAGCCCTACAAAGATCAATGAGGCGTGGCGTCATATCATATTTTTTATTTAGCGGCATTTTTGTATTATTATTCTTCGAAAGGACTATAGAGTGGCGGGTGTATGGCTGACGTTGTACTTAAATATCTTTGTCGTCCAGCACAGTATCGCTCAAAAAATGAAGCGATTTCTATAGTATAGGTCCGTACGTATAAATATTATTATTAATACATATAATTTCTCAAACCCCTCCCTTCAATAGCCATTGAACCGGAAGGATATTGTCCCTACAACCCATACCCATGTTGTAATATTCATGCATGTGCAGGGACCCCTCAACCTGACGATGTCTCTATTTGGCAATAATGTTGTATATCCAATGCCGAACCAGGCGCTCGAGTACCTCAGCGATTTCACCGGCTGTATCTCACGACTTCCTCCTCTTCGTAGCTCCAAATGATGGTTTTCTTTCCTGTGGAACATAATCGCTGTCTTCGTCCGTGGTCGTCGTATTCTCCGTCACCTCTAGCTGGACCTTGGGCTCAACAAACAGATCCAAGCTGGCTGCGCGGGTTACCACTTGTTTCAGAGCCGGTACATTCTTAGCAATAGCCTTCGTGGGTAAAGGTGGGAGTTCTCTGAGAAACTTTTGTTGAAGTTCCACATCGAGCTGCCGTTCAGAATGATGGAATAGTTGGGGACCCTTTGGGCTGAGGTTTCGGAAGCGACCGATTTCGATGTTTCTCTAGTTTATACGTGCAAGTTAGTTACACTAACTTCCAAACAGTTGATTTTGTAATTCGGAAACTTACCTTCAGGTCGAAATATTGATCTCGAACGGAATGCCGGATTGACAAATTTCTCACTTTGCCAAAATCAACGCCAAGCCAACGTTCTGGATGCCGGAATACACCCTGTAGACAAAGCTCTACTTTCTGTACGTTCGGAAAGACGATTCCAACATATTTGTCCAACATCGGAACTGACATTTCATGACCAGGCTTCGGCCTGTGCATCACACAACAGGATTTCGGCGCCGTGATCTGCCGTCCCAACCCAACCGAGTCTGTACTCACTGAGCATTGGAAGTTCTTCACAGCTTGCCCCGACGGTTCCAACACCATATACAGGGCTTCGAAAATCTTGTCGTTCGCCGGATTGCCGTTGACAAGTCCGTGAAGAGATATCGCCAGTGTCTCCAACTTAGCAACTGACTTATCGTCACTTGATTCAAAGTTATTGATAAATGCGATAGTGTCAAACATGCATGGTCGGCAGCGTAATTGTAGCCGATTGAGCAGAGGCATGTCGTGTATGGCTGTTTGAACGACCTTGAGCACAAGATTGAAGTCAAATGTAGAATCCTCGGGCGCGATCAAGCTGAACGCTTCAACGTTGGTGCATCCCTCCAGTAGCCAGAAGAACTCCGACATCTCCAAATCTGTATACGTATATTCTCCGTTTCTGTACACATTGCCAGCGAAGGACTCCGTGTCACTGGTGATATCCTTAAAGACAAGCCTCAGAGATCTACTTTGAAATGATTAGCGTTTGCATGTTCTTGATTGATCCTTGGCTGTGCGAACTTCAACCAGGACGTATCGCAGAAGCGCGGTAGAAACTGACCTTATCAAATGTTTGTTGCGGATAAACTCGCTAAAGTTGGCAGATTTGCTACAGCTGTAGACAGAAAGAACAAAGCGCGGAGACCGATGGTAGGCAAAGCAGAGCTCAAAATGCTGATATCTGCTATGAACAAGTCGCTGATGAAATTTTGAACAAGTTTGCGCAATGCTCTGCCGGTCTTTGCTCGTTAGGTCCGTGCAGTTAAGAACCAGATCCAATAGGTGATCGGGCAAGTCTAGGATGACGCATCGAGCTGGTTTCCGAAATGCAGCGGTGATACGTTCCCTAAAGCTGCACTTAGATGATGTCTTTGGCTTGGATTTTGCGAGTTTTGCCTGCGTTGGAACTGCGGCTATGGTGGGAATCTGTAGAAGCTTTGGTTCTGGTGGCTCGGGCAGCTGGTGATAGCGTCTATTTATAATGGATGAACTGTCCATAGTGGATTTAACATATTTGCGGGAAGGAAGCCAAATGGCAGACGGTCTCGGACGCATCTTTGGAGAGGCTTGCCTCGGTATGGTATATCTATAGAGGAATATCCCGGGGAATTTGACGGCCGCCTCAATATAAGTTCCAAATCAAACTGTGAACTAAAATATCAGACCAGGAGAGAGATTTGAGAAAGGAAAATAGTTGTGTCAACTAGTATCGACGGTCAGCATGCGTGGACAAAATCAACATTTATATTGCAATATTAACAGGTTAGTCCAAGTATTGGCTGCAAGGAGACCGCGATCTTTTCCCTTTGATATATATTATAAGTCGCTTGGTATCCAACTACTTAATCCTTGCTCATTTCTCACTTATGATCAGGCAATGGTATGATGATATCATGACCGATTAATGGTAACTATGTACTTTATTTATCACTTATTTAGATATACGAATACCGAGTTTACGAGAGTTCGTATGTCTAGCGTGCTGTGACGGAGAACTCGCCACATGTCAAATGTCTTTAATCTATCAACGTTGTTTGAAGGGCCAGGCCTAGTGTGAGGTCTGGTTTCGATATTAATTGATCGAGACTAACAGGTGATGGCCCCTATCATTGCGGCTCCACAAATTGTATCAGCTGTATACCGAAAATAGAGACGCATAAGGGTTCAATTAGACAATGAATTGGGGTCTTTATGTCCCAAGAATAGCCAGCCGATGATCCGTTAAAGGTTGCCGCAGATTCAGTAGCGAGATTTAACGAGGACCTTCGGCTCGATTAGCTCTTCACGAACATGTAGACCCCATAAAATTCAAAAAATCAACCCATCATTGCTGATATTGGTAAAGGACTATGTAACAGAAACTTCACATACCCTCGTAACTGCCTCTTAAGAACGGCTCCACCAGAAAGAGGAAGAATGTGAAAGCGCTCCTGGAGAATCGTCCCTCCATGAGATGTGTTGGAATAAAAAGAGTGTTCGGCTCGACGTTGGATTTCGCAGAGACAGGTCTACTTTCAAAAAGTGCTCGCTAAGCGACGTCGGCAAGATGACTCACGAGCAAAAAAAGACAAAAAGACAAAAAGAGAATGGCGTCGCCGATAGGACTCGAACCTATGCCCCCGAAGAGAATTGATGGTCTAGAAGTGGAATTCTAGTCAATCGCCTTAACCACTCGGCCACAGCGACTTACTTGTGTAAGAAGCTAGATCATTGCTATATGATAGAATTATCAAAAGGACTAGTGAAACCAGTGAAGCTATAAATTAATTCGAGAGTATCTGGACATCACGAACGCATATGTTGACACTGACACAAGATTCGTGAACTCCAATCCTAAGGTAATGATATTTTGAGTCCACTCTCAAAGCTGGTAATTATTCCACACATAACAGTATATGATGGTATAAAGAGCGAGGCCCACATTAATACTTTAGAAAGAGATGTACCTTCGTGCTTATAAGCATATGAAAATCAAGCCCCTAGGGGCTCACAGTAGTAAGAGTTCCTTCGATCGAATCGAGACCGTACCCGAATAACCTTGCAACATTTCCGCCAGATATTTGTCCTATTCCCCCAAGCAGACCATCTAGAGGACCATCCGGCACCCCAAATTCAGGTAGGTCAGCCTCAGTCAACGCAACCTCTATTACGGTGAGACCAGCCCACTAATTGCTGAACGTTACTTTAGTCATATTTGTGATTTTCCGATTCGTAATGTCCGGAATGTCGATCGTTGGGTTCGCCCTAAAGATTGCACTCTGTTCTAGAATCACGTTCTTATTGACGAGGGGCTCAAATCTGCTGCTGCGGAACCGAATCACGCAGTCGGTAGGTAAAATTAACGGTGAAACTGGCTCTGTGCCGTGGAGGTTTCCTTGGGTGATAGTTATCGCCAGGAAACAGCCAAAATAGAAACTGTTGATGGAGAATGTGGCGCCTGAGCTAGCCAACTCGTCGGTAAGATGAAATGTAGTTTTCGACGATTTACCGAGCGAATCTTGGAGGCCAGCAAAGGCTCTGGAAATGTACTTCGAGCCTGAGGCCGGCCGAAGGAAATTATCTTTCTGGCCAATTGGCGCAGACCCAGCACCGGGAGGAGTCGTTTCTTTGAACTGTGACACGAAAAAGTCGGAGAAGTCAAATCCAGTTCCATGAAAATTTCCTAGCAGAATTCTTCCAGTCATGATATCGGATTCGTCAAACTATATAGATCTAGTGTCAGCAGAGTCATTGGATCAATTCTCAAATATCTAAATACATTAGATTGTCGAGTATCAATAATTAAGTAATCTTCGCATAAAAAGAATAGATGCTCACGGTGATTGCGAATGGACTTGTTGCGACTCCCCGCGGCATTACAGGCGATGCCACAGGTGCTTGCACAAACAACTGCAGAGCGACGACGCAAAGCACGACCCATCTATTCATTTTGAAAATGGATCGTTCCGTTTTCAGAAATTTGCCGGTTCTTTATGATGCTCTTTCTCGTTTTGCGCCAGCCGCACGGAAATATCTACAGACAGACTGAGATTCACGAGACCGCCAGAGATCGAAAAACTTGGGGTGTATCGAGTATGAATGGGTCTTGAAAATGCTGATCTACGATTGATCGCAAGTGCGCAGAAGAGCTCGGATTATATGTATACGAAGAAGGCTCCTATCTTAAGTGTATTCATCTCTTTAATGACAGGCGCTATAGCGGTCATGTAACTTTCGAATAATACGCCGGCGTCACTATGGAGCGCTCTAGACATTTTGAATAAAAGTTAGACATCACTAGGCAGGCAGTGCCTGGATATACGGAGGCAATTATACACATGTTGGTACGGTTACCTGCATGTCTCTGTATACGGTATAACATTTTTTATTGCGTCACAGTAGCACTAAGGCTAACATGGGACGTTAAGCTTCAGATTCTCGAGGCTTTACAGCACTTCCTACGGACATCTCAGCTCACTATGAAAGTCTAGATTCACCATGCTTTCAGAGTCATGGGGTGTATTCACGGATAGACATAGAATTCCATTAGTTTCCGAGTCATGAATTCATGTGCACCATATCCAGCCGTCTAGGCCGGCTAATACAGACGCCCAGCTCCTCCACAGCCCAGTCTTATGACTATATATACAACTCCATGAAAATTAGGCAGAGAGTTGCAGGAAGAAAATTACAGCCGCAACCGTCTAATACAGCCGCTTAGGGGGAGACATGGAAGCCTTGATAGTCAAGCTTCCAACGTTCTGCCAGCCCTTCTTCAACAAAGAGACAAGGTAGTTGATGGCCAACATGATGTTGGAGATCAGCTGGTCCTCGGTCATGCCGACGTTTCCGACGGCGACACCCAAGCACAGAACCTTCTTCAGCTGGAACTTGATGGTAGACTTGACATCCGTCAATTTATTGTTGAGATCCTCATTATGGGAAATCGGGGTTGGGAATTTGCCAGCTGCGAAAGCATTTCAATTAGCTTGGTGTCCCAGATCTGCAATATCTCCCAAGTTTGAGATGGCTTTTCAACGTACCCTTCGACAAACCAGGTCCCAGGAGACGAGGAATCTGCTTGATCAAACCGTCGGAAGCGATAAAGGCATCATACTTCCGAGCGAGCTTCTTGATCAACTTCTTGTTCTTGTTCAGCTTCTTCAAGTCGTCGACGGACATGGAGTCGACGCCGACGTGCTTGGCGCGGTCGATGTCGTGCTGGTCACCGAGGATGCAGACGCTCATATTTGGGCGCGGAACCTGCGGCAGCTTGACGGTGCCAGAGAAACGCTTGTCACGCTGGGGATCATAGTTCTTGAGACCGATCTGGAGCTCGACGGTCTCCAAGAAGTTGCGCTTCTTGGTCTCGGTGCTGTACTCGAGGAGTTCCTTGACGTTTCCACGCACTCCGGCTGTATCGAAGATACCAGATTAGCATGCATCGCTGGACAGTGGGCCGGGAGGTCCAGGCTTCGCGGGGGCTAACGCACCGACTGAGATCTTGGACATTTTGGATAATGTGGCAGTCTTCCAGACGAATTACCGTATCGATTCGTTTGGTGAGGATTGGCGAGGAAAAGACGAGGTCGTGTCGTATATTCTTGGTGTTCGATTGAGTCGTTGATTTCGTGATATCAAATTCGTCGTTTCGGCTACATTTTTTGCAAGCGCGAAGAGGATCTTGGCGCTAACCATATTAGGCTAGCCGCTCGGGGTTAGGGCTTGTCTAGGAATCCAACAGCTACAACACATTTTGAATTACCATCATGCATACCTTCGCGACATAGCGTTGTTGACTGCGCCACCAGATTTTTTGGCGTCGCGTAACCAGGTCCACTTGTCGGATATACCATGTCCCTTGACACCTGCAATTTAACTCCAACTTCGGCACGGACAGCTGCTTTATCTTCGACGTCGCCTACTTCGGATTTTGATATCATATTCAGAGCTCCAAGACCTTTTGACAATGGTTTAATCGAGCGAAGCATTGCTCTAACTTATAGACGACTGGAGTTTACTAATTAGGCGTAATGCCAACCACCAAAATAGAGCTGCCGGCGCAAGCCAGCCCTTTGGCGGCCGTATCAAGACATCTGACACGCTCGTGATCGTCGAAATGTGGATCGGGCTAATTTACGCGTCGGCTTGGTATCGTAAATTAATGGACAACGCCCCCCACCGCGTAGCTGAAATGTCTGGTCCCCCTGAATTGCAGAGATTCAACTGGTCTCTTGTGTTCTTCTGTAAAATCGATCAAAGAACACCCGTCTGACCTCGGAACACAAACTACGGTGGTTCCGCACATACATGCGCATAGACAAGCACCAGAATGACATCAGCAGTTGCAGTGCTTGGGCCTTCCGACTTCGCCTTCGATGCCGGTAGCGAATCCATATTTCACTGGAGTTTCTACACACAGCCTCCGTCGCGCCGAACATCAAAATTATCCAAACTGACCAGCCCGACCAAAGAGAGCAGCCCTCCACTACTTGATCTCTTCGGACTGGCACCAAAGTACATCACCGAAGATGAGGATGAACCTAGCAGTTCAGATTCGGAAGAGTCGGACGCCGATCCGGATTGGGCGAAATCGGAGACCATAAATCGGACGAATCAGACATATGAGTTTGAAAAACAACACTACGACCTCGCAGACCTGAAGGTCGTCCTGAAAACCAATAACAAAATGTATTGTTTCTTGGTGGCCTCGCACGCCCTCTGTATGGCTTCAAAGGTCTGGAAGAGAATCATTCATCCCAACGGCTTCAGAGAACTAGAATACGAGCCGCGTGGGCCTGATGGTGCTTCCATCAAGGTTATCCGTCTTGAGGATGACGTAGCCAACACCTTGGACATCATTTTCAATATAATCCATCTCGAAACGGACAGCATCCCTAAGAAACTCAGCTTTCGGCGCCTTCGACAAATGGCTATCATCTGTGACAAATACGAGTGCGCCAAAGCGCTTGGACCGTGGCCAGAGATGTGGATGCAGGAGCACCTTGCCAATGCGACGACTCCTGGCTTTGAAGACTGGCTTTTTATCGCGAAAGTATTAGATCCGACACAGATGAAAGCCAAGGAGATTACAAAAAGTCTGGTGATGGAAACGAGTTCAAAGAGCGTTTGCGGCACCTACATCAAGCGGTTTACGTCTACTCCTACTTCCGAGAAGGAATTCGAAGTAAACCTCGAGCTTATGCCTGACAGCATCAAAGGTATGGCAGCCATACAGGAAATTCGGAGGTGCAGTCGCACGCTCGCATGGCATATCGCTAACTATGGCGCGTAAATGGCTGTCCAGACTATGTTGTGAAAGAAAGAGCACGCGCAGTGCGAAAGATCACCAATATGCTACGACAGTTCGTCAGGGAACTGTCGCGCGTAGCATTCGATGACCAACAGCCGGGCTACAATGTAGCTATACCTCTCAGCTACTGCCCAACATGCTCTGATATTGCAGTTGGGTCTCTGATACGAAGCTTGAAACGACTGCTCCTCTGGCCACTGCTGCATGGCGATGGACGAGCTGAGTGGCATGGATCGCTGGGGGCATTGATTGCCCAGGTAGAATGTCTGCACATGACTACCTTAATTCACAAGACAAGCTCTCATCCAGTGGTCCCCGCTCGAGTATCCAGTTCTACTGCAACAGGAGGGCGCGCGTCCTTTTCAGCATCGCACAATCGAATGTCAAGCGCTTC